TGGAGTTACCAATGTTTGATGGTAACAAATCCAGGGGCTGGATTAGGAAATGTCAGAAGTTCTTTAATCTGTTTGGAATTCCAGATGAGGAAAAACTGGATATAGCTACTATGTACTTAGTAGGGAAGGATGAAACCTGGTTTGATAGTTACATATTATAGAAATATAGAGTTACTTGGCATGAATTTGAGGCTGATTTGTGTCACAGATTTGGGGATAGAAACTATTCTGATATTATTGAAGAATTCAATAAGTTGATGCAGAAGGGGAGTGTAGAGGAATATCAAGAAAAATTTGAAGAGCTAAAACCCTATTTACTGCAACAGAACATGCATCTGGGGGAGGCTTATTTTGTTTCCAGCTTCATTAGTGGTCTCAATGAAGAATTAAAGCATAAGGTGAAGGTGTTAGAGCCCAAGAATTTATCTGAAGCTTACAGGCAAGCAAAACTTTATGAATTGGCTAATGAGATTGAAGGGAAGAAGTATAAAGTGGCTAACAAATTTTTTTCTTATAATCCCTCAAATATTCAACAGAGCAGTGGGAATAAGGGATTTTTACCTAAGACAATTCCTCCTAATACGAGTACCAAACAGAGTTTATTGGATTACAGGAGAGCCAATAACTTGTGTTTTAAATGTGGGGAAAAATTTGCTCCAGGACATCAGTGCAAAGTGAGACAGCTCAACTGTATGGAGGAAGAGGAACCTACTGATTATGCTGAACAAGAATTAATAGAATGAGAGACTGGAGAGGGGAAGATCAACCTAAAGAGACCTTGGAAATTTCTATTAATGCTATTACAGGGAATGTGGGACATACTACCCTGAGGATCCAAGGTTTTATCAAAGGAAAACCTATTAATGTGCTAATTGATAGTGGCAGCACCCATAGTTTTGTAACTCCTAAATGGGCCAAGGAAGGGGTTGAATTAGTACATACCCAACCATTAGTCATCACAGTAGCTAATGGTGAGAAGTTGTTCAGTACTGCTAAGAGTAATAAGGTGAGCTGGAAGATGCAAGGCTATGATTTTCAGCATGACTTCAGAGTATTAGCTTTGGGAGGTAGTGATATGGTTTTGGGAGTGGATTGGATGGAAGAATTCAGCCCTATAATGATGGATTTTAAAACTAAAACTATCAGTTTTGAGAAGAATGGAGAAACTGTAGTTATAAAAGGGTCTCAAAAGCTGTCATTAATCAGATCTATCACAGGTGAGAAATTACAGAATTAGCAGAGAAGGACATTGAATTGAATGGGGAGATTTATTTGTTAAGTGTTGAAGTAGAAGGCAGTGAAATTCCTTTACCATTAGAAGACCTATTAGAAGAGTTTAAAGAAGTTTTTGAAGAACCAAGAGGAATGCCTCCTAGTAGACAACATGATCATGCAATTGTCCTTAAACAGGGAACACAACCAGTAAACCTTAGACCTTATAGATTTGCTCATCATCATAAGGCTGAAGTTGAAAAATAGATTGCTGAGATGTTGTCCTCTTCTATTATTCAGGTGAGTAAAAGTCATTTTGCTTCTCCATGTTTACTTATTAAAAAGAAAGATGGAACTTGGAGATTTTGTGTGGATTATAGGAAACTTAATTCTACTACGGTTAAAAATAAGTTTCCTATTCCTATAGTGGAGGATTTGTTAGATGAATTGAATGGGGATGCTTTCTTCTTGAAAATTGATTTGAGGTCTGGATATTGGCAAATTAGAATCAAGGAGGAAGATATTTACAAGACTGCTTTTAGGACTCATTAAGGACACTATGAATTTAAAGTAATGCCATTTGGCCTTACTAATGCTCCAACTACTTTTCAGGCTTTAATGAATGATTGTTTGGAGCATATTTAAGGAAGTTTGTTCTTGTATTTTTGATGATATCTTGGTTTATAGTCCTAGCTTGGCAGAGCATAAACAACACCTGAGAACAGTGTTGGAGGTGCTGTTGAAAAACAGGTTATATGCTAAAGAAGTAAGTGCTTCTTTGGACAGCAGCAAGTGGAATATCTAGGGCATTTAATATCAGCTGATGTGGTGGCTACAGATCCTACCAAAATTAAAGCCATGCAGCAGTGGCCTTTGCCTAAAAATCTGAAAGCTTTAAGAGGATTTTTGGGTTTAACTGGATACTACAGAAAATTCATCAGAGGATATGGGGAACTGAGTAAGCCTTTAACCAATATGTTGAAAAAGGATGGGTTTTATTGGTCTCAAGAAGCTATTACAGCCTTTGAAAAGCTAAAGGAGTTATGTGTAATGCTCCAGTTTTGGTTTTGCCTAATTTTGAGCAGAAATTTTTTTTGGAAACTGATGCTAGTTCTAAAGGGATTGGAGCTGTTCTTTCTCAAGCAGGAAGACCTATAGCCTATTTGAGTAAAGCTTTAGGTCCTAAGCATGCAGATCTCTCAATCTATGAGAAGGAGTATTTGGCCATTTTGATGGCAGTTTCCCATTGGAGGCATTATCTATAGAATAGTTCTTTTGTCATTAAAACAGATCATGAGTCCTTGAAACATTTACTTGAACAGAAGTTAACTAAAACTATTCAGAGGAAGGGACTTACAAAGTTATTGGGGTTGGATTATATTATTCAGTATAGGAAGGGTAAGTCTAACAAAGCTGCAGATGCACTCTCTAGACAACAATGGATTCTGGTGAATTTGTTCAAATGAGAGTTACTGTTATAACTCCTACTTGGGTACAAGATATGAAAAGAGTTATGAAGAAGATGCTCTAGCTCAAGAAAATAAACCTATTCTTGTTATTAATCCAGATCAATTACAGGACTGGAAATTACTGAAAGGAGTCTTGTATTTCAAAAATAGGATTTATGTGGGCAGCAAAGGGAATTTGAGGCAGAATATAATTATGGCTTTGCATGATTCACCACAAAGAGGTCACTCAGGTATTCAAGCTACTTATCAGAAAATTAATCTTATTTTTTCTGGCCAAGGATGAAAATTCAAGTTCAGGAGCATATACAGCAGTGTGATATCTGTCAGAGGACTAAAATAGAACTATTTCTAAGCCAGGGTTATTACAACCTATTGCAGTTCCAAACAATGCTTGGGAAGTGATTAAAATGGACTTCATTGAAGGATTGCCACCTTCAACAAAGTATATTTGCGTTTTAGCGGTGATTGATAAATTCACTAAATATGCTCATTTTATGCCATTATCTCATCCCTATACAGTAGTGGAGGTTTCTAGAGTTTATCTTGATCAGGTTTACAAGTTACATGGTCCTCCTAAGGTGGCTATTTCTGATAGGGACAAATCTTTTACTAGTCTGTTTTGGCAAGAATTAATGAAGCAATTGGGTTCAACTACTTTATTTAGTACTGCCTATCATCCTGAGACAGATGGCCAGACAGAGAGGTTGAATCAGTACTTGGAACAGTATTTGAGGTGTATGTGTTTCTTGAAACCAAAGACTTGGTCCAAATGGCTAGCTCAGGCTGAGTGGTGGTACAATACTAACTATCACTCTGCTCTACAGATGACACCATTTGAAGCTTTATATGGGTATAAAGCTCCTAATGTGACATGGACAACAGAATCTAGGGTGGAAGCAGTGAAAGATGTCATGCAACACAGGGAACAGTTAAATTCACTACTATGAGAACAATTACTTAAAGCTTCTAACAGAATGAAGCAGATGAGTGACAAGCATCGAACAGACATGGAGTTTCAAGTTGGCGATGAAGTTTACCTGAAGCTTCAACCCTATAGACAAACATCACTGGCCCTCAAAAGAAATTTGAAGCTTGCTGCTCGTTATTTGGACCCTACAAGATACAAAGCAAAATTGGTAAAGTTGCTTATAAACTAGAGTTGCCAGCAAATTCGAAGATCTACCCAGTTTTTCACGTGAGTTTACTTAAGAAAAAAGTGGGGAACAAAGGACTTATCTCGATCGATCCTCCAGAGGCCGCATCGAATGGACAATTGAAGATTTATCCAGCCCTTGTTTTTGGATCAACGAGTGATTACAAGACAGAATCGCGCAGTTATTCAACTGCTCATTCAGTGGACAAATATGGGAGAGACAGAGGCAACTTGGGAGGATTATACAGTATTGAGACAACAATTCCCTCAGTTCGATCCTTGGGGACAAGAATCATCTGGAGAAGGGGGTATTGTTATGATGACAGGAAGGTTAGGGTTTGATCGTGTTGATTTGGGGAAAATCGCGAAGGGAAGAGTTGGGAAGTAATAGTAGAAATTGGGGAAAATCTCGAAGGAAATTAGGGATTTTACTGGAAGGCTAGGGATCGAGGTATCTGACGAATTGGGAATTGAAGAGATTAGGGGAGTCGGCTGAGGTATATGAGGGGTTAATGGGTCTATATGATAATTTTCTTTTAATTACTGTTGGGCTTTTAAGTTGGGCTTGGGTCTATTAGAAGAGTATGGGGAAAGAATAGGGAATGATGAGTCAGCATAGGGTGGTTATTTTGTTAGAGATTCTGTTTGACAGCTGGTACTATAGATATATAATTTGTACCGATCTTTTGAGGATTTATCTGATGAATGAAGCACATTTTCTGTATCTAAATTTCTCTCTTTCTGAAAACCCTAAAATTCTTCTAAATTTCATCCTCAATCATAATAATGACCTGTTATGGTTTGGGATAGATAGAAAAGAATTTGAGAAATAGGTAATAGGAATAGAGAGAAAATTGAGAGATTTCAGAGAAGAAAAGCGTGTTCATTCATATCCTGAGGAGAAAATACATCATCCCAGCTCATTTTTATTTAGTTACAATCTATCATAATCTTAAGGATGCCAGCTGGCTATCCTTTGTAACTGACTCTAACAATTTCCTTCCTTCTTCATTTGTTTAGCAGATAAGGACTATTGGGCTCAGCTATTTTAATTTCCTTGGGCCGCTCTAACTGCTTCATATTCAATCCATTCCCGCTGATCTGCTCTAGAGGTAAGTTATCTTCATTTCCTTCACATGTCAGAATCCCCAATCCCTAACCCTCGTCTCATTTCCCCCAATTCTCCCTCGCCCTCTTCGTGTTCTCGCCTTTCTCCTCCCACCATGAAAATACCCACCCCTCGAGAGGATCCTTATCCCCAAGGATCAAAAGATGGAAACTGACCACGGAGCACCGAATAATCTTCCCAGGTGTCATGCGAATCGTTCAGGTTAGTCCATCGAACTAGTAACTGAGTAACTGGCATGTTGTCTCGATTGATAATTCTTCTGCCTAAAACTTGACTTGGTTCTATACGAAACTGACCTTATTCATCTACCACAGGAGGCTCTGTCGAAGATGATACTGCTGGCCCAATATGCCTCTTCAACATACTGACATGAAAGACTGGGTGCAACCGAGAGTTCTCTGGTAATTCTAATTTATACGCAACTTCTCTGATTCTATCAATAATTTTGTATGGTCCATAAAACTTAGCTGCTAACTTCAAATTTTTTTTTCAGGGCAAGGGATGTTTGACGATAGGGTTGCAACTTCAGGTAAACCTTATCCCCTACTGCAAAACTTCTCTCAGTATGTTTTTTATCTGCCTCTTGCTTCATTCTATTAGCAGCTTGTTCTAGTTGATGTTTCACCAATTGCCTTATTTCTTCCCTGCTTTTCATCAATTCACCCACATAATGCACTGTAACCTCTGGTTGCCAAACCATTGTAGGAGGTTTATAACATATAGAGCCTGAAAAGGTGTTAGGTTTAAGGCTGTGTGATAGGTAGTATTATACCACCACTCCGCATGAGCCAACCACTTAGCCCACTGTTTAGGTTGCAAAAAACAGAGTCCTCTTAGATATTGCTCAAGATATTGATTAACTCTCTCTGTCTGACCATCTGTTTCAGGATGGTAAGCAGTGCTGAATAGAGTTATAATACCCAACTGTTTCATTAACTCTCTCTAAAAGAGACTAGTAAATGTTTTATCCCTATCTGAAATAGCCATCTTAGGTTGACCATGGAGCTTGTAGACATTGTCTAGATATAGCTTAGCAACCTCAGCTGCAGTGTAGGGATGAGACAATGCCATAAAATGGCTATATTTGGTAAACTTATCAACTATCACCAATATACAATTTTTTTTAAGGAAGTAGGTAAGCCCTCAATAAAATCCATAGTAATCACCTCCCAAGCTTGTTGAGGAATAGGAAGGGGTTGTAGTAGTATGGGTTTAGATATATGCTCCACCTTAATTTGCTGACAAACTGTGCAGTATCTGATATAAGTGACTACCATAGCTTTATGCTTAGGCCAATAAAAATAGGACCTAATCCTCTGATAAGTAGCTTGAGTCCCAGAATGACCTCCATGAGGGGAATCATGTAAAACTTGAAGAATTTGGAGTCTAAGAGATCCATTAGAACCAATGTAAACTCTGTTTTTAAATCTAAGTATCCCTTTTGAAAATTTCCAATTAGGATCAAACATTAGGTGACACAGTCAAGATATTAATCCAATCAGCAGCTATTTTATCTTCCTTATAGTTGTTTTCAACATCTTGTACCCAGCTAGGAATAAGCAAAGTAGTTCCCATAGTAAGATAGTAACCAAACATCTTCCCATTGCCTAGACAAGGCATCTGCTACAGTATTGGACTTACCTTTTCTGTACTGTATAGAATAGTCCAGCCCCAACAACTTAGTCAACCCTTTCTTTTGGATTGTGGTGGTCAGTTTCTACTCCAGTAGATACTTCAGTGGCTCATGGTCAGTTTTAATAATAAAAGGATTACTTTCCAAGTAATGCCTCCACTTAGAAACTGTTAATAAAATAGCAAGATACTCACTTTCATAAATAGAGAGGGCATCATGTCTAGGACTTAGGGCCTTACTTAGATAAGCAATATGTCTGCCCTCTTGAGATAGCACATCACCAATTCCTCCTGAACTAACATCTATTTCCAAACAGAAACTTTTGCTGAAATCAGGTAAGGCTAAAATAGGAGCAACACACATAGCCTGTTTTAACAATTCAAAAGCATTCAAAGCTGTAGTGGTCCACTGAAAATTATCCTTAGTAAGTAGTTGAGTCAAAGGCTTACTTATGGCACCATAATCTTTAACAAACCTCCTGTAATAACCAGTCAATCCCAAAAATCCACGCAAAGACTTTAAAGATCTAGGAAGAGGGCAATTCTTCATAGCTTCTATCTTATTAAGGTTTGTAGCTACTCCATCTGCTTAAATAATATGCCCCAAGTATTCCACCTGAGTATGTCCAAAGAAACATTTGGACAGCTTTGTAAACAATTGGTTATCTTGCAAAACCTCCAAAACTAGCTGTAAGTGAGTAATATGTTCTGCCATAGAATTACTATAAACTAGGATATCATCAAAGAACACCAAAACAAACTTTCTAAGAAATGATTTAAATAAATCATTCATTAATGCTTGAAATGTGGCAGGAGCATTAGTAAGACCAAAAGGCATTACCTTGAATTCATAATGCCCTTGATGAGTCCTAAATGTTGTTTTGTAGATATCTTCCTCCTTAATTCTGATTTGCCAATAGCCTGACCTTAAGTCAATCTTGGAAAAATAAAATGCCCCATAGAGCTCATCCAATAGATCCTCCACAACAGGAATAGGAAACTTATCCTTTACTGTGAGATTGTTTAGTTGCCTATAATCAACACAAAACCGCCAAGTACCATCATTCTTTTTAATTAAAAGACATGGAGAAGCAAAGGGACTCTTGCTTGGTTGAATAATAGAGGAAGACAACATAGCAGCAATTTGTTGTTCCACTTCTATTTTCTGGTTATGAGGAAATCTGTATGGTCTCAAATTGATAGGACTAGACCCAGGTTTGAGAGGAATAGCATGATCATGAGCTCTTCTAGGTGGTAACCCTTTAGGTTCAGTAAAAATAGTGTTATACCTCTTTAAAAGATGTTGAAGAATTACAGGAATGGGTTTAGGAGTCTCAATCATACTCAATAAGACCATATGTCCTAAAATAGCGTCATCTGAGGCTATCATTTTCAGTAAGGTAGCACCTGAAATCTGCTGCAAAAGCAGTGAAGGTTGCTGCCCTTGTATAACAATATTCTCACCCTGATGTTGAAAGCTCATTGTCATCTGATTGAAGTCCATCAAAATTGGACTAAAGACCTTCATCCAATCAACCCCTAACACCATATCACTTCCCCCCAATTTAAGGAGTCTAAAGTCATGTATGAAATAGTGTCCTTGCATCTGCCACTCCACATTGTTGTATCTTGATGAACTATATAATTGTTGACCATTAGCTACTGTAATAGCTAAAGGGTATGGAGTTAGGACTTGAATGCCAGCATCAGCCCATTGTGGTGTCAAAAAACTATGTGTACTACCACTGTCAATGAGTATGTTCAAAGGTCTACCTTGAATTGTCCCTTGAATCCTCAATGTGTTATGACTAATGCACCCAGTAATTGCATTCATAGAAATTTCCAAGCTTTCCTCCTCTTGCATGATCTGCTGGTCTGAGTCAGTAGGGACAGATTCTGTAGGAATAGGATTTTCCTCTTCAATCATCATATTGAAGTTTCTTGTTTTACACTGATGACCTGGTTGAAATTTTTCTCCACATTTAAAACAAAGGTTATTTTGCCTTCTATAATCAATGAGATTCTGTTTAGGATTGGAATTTGGTGTGGATTTAGTAGGCAGTGGTACTGAAGTTGTCTTGGAAGTAATAATGGGGTTTGGGTAGGGTGGGACTTTAAAGGAAGGTCTCAACTTTCTGTTTTCAAACTCCACAGATAACTCATAGAGCTTAGCTTGTTTACATGCCTCAGATAAATTTTTAGGATCTAAAGCTTTTACTCTATGTTTGATGTCTTCTCTAAGTCCACTTATAGAAAGTGACACAAAAAAATCCTCACCCAAAGTAGGATTCTGTAACAGCATGTGTGGTTGCAACTCCTCAAACTTTTCTTGATAATCTTCAACAGATCCTTTATGAGTAAGCTTAGTGAATTCCTCCACAATGTCAGAAAAAGACCTATCACTAAATCTATGACATAAATCAGCTTCAAACTCATGCCATGTTACATGATGCTTCTGCATAATATAGCCATCAAACCATATTTAAGCTTTTCCTGTAAGATACATAGTAGCAACTTCCACCCTCTGATCTACAGGAACATTGCATAAAAAAAATACTTCAAACACTTCTGCAACCATCCCCTAGGATTTATCCCTTCAAAAAATGGCAACTCAATTTTGGGTCTATGCCACATAGTCCCTACACTGTTAAAAGAACCCCCTTGTCCCCTGTTTTCAGCTTCCGTCCATGCATCATAGGTCTATTGTTACTGTTTTCACCCACTTGATTTTCAGGCCTATAACTGTTCTTAAGGGCTAAACAAGCATCCGGCTTATCATTCAAAATCCACGGTTCCTCAGGTTTATAAGTGAATCTTGATTTATATCCTTTTCTATAGTCACTAAAAAATGATTTCTCTCCACATTTTTAGAGTTATTAAGAGTATTTACCTGATCACCTGCAGATTGCTCTTGTTCACCACCTCTACCAGTTAAAATCTTCAACAGCTCCTCCACATAACCTTGATTAGTTGACATTCTTGCCTCTAGTGCAGCAATCCTGTTTTTCTGCGTCTCCCACCATTTGGGTGGATTAGTTTCATCTTGACCTTATTTCACCAAGGCTGTTAGTTCCTCCATCTGTTTCTGCAACCCCGATAAATCAGCTTCCATACTCTGGTTTTTCTTTGTCATGCTCTTGATTTACTTGCCAGAATCAAGGCTCTCGATACCAATTGTTATGGTTTGGGATAGATAGAAAAGAATTTGAGAAATAGGTAATAGGAATAGAGAGAAAATTGAGAGATTTCAGAGAAGAAAAGCGTGTTCATTCATATCCTGAGGAAAATACATCATCCCAGCTCATTTTTATTTAGTTACAATCTATCAGAATCTTAAGGATGCCAGCTGGCTGTCCTTTGTAACTGACTCTAACAATTTCCTTCCTTCTTCATTTGTTTAGCAGATAAGGACTATTAGGCTCAGCTATTTTAATTTCCTTGGGTCGCTCCAATTGCTTCATATCCAATCCATTCCCGCTGATCTGCTCTAGAGGTAAGTTATCTTCATTTCCTTCACGTGCCAGAATTCCCAATCCCTCATTCTCAATCCCTAACCCTCGTCTCATTTCCCCCGATTCTCCCTCGCCCTCTTCGTGTTCTCGCCTTTCTCCTCCCACCATGACATGACCTTAAAATTTTCATGAATATGGTCATATAAATTTATGAAATTTATCTAGGTGATGAATAAACAAGCTTCCTGTCGAAGCAGCAGTTTATTCCTTTTCTTATCTACTTTTGTTTATTTGGCTCAACTTCTGATTGTTAACATTTTCGTCTTCCTTTCTTTTTACCCAAAGCAAAATGATGAAACAAATGCTATTATGAGTTTGCTATAGTTAATTTTGTTCTTTATAGTGACAATTAGATAGGCCATACATTGAAGTGATTCAAGTCTAGATTTTTTTTTCTTTATTTTCCATCTGTGAATCTCACTGTATAAAGAATCAAGTTTAATTTAGTTGTGCTTAGTTATGAAGAATAGAACCATGTCTGATTGTGCAAGTCATCGGTTGGTCAATGTGGTTTTCTGGGTATCTTTTTCTGGAAAGAAAGCTGGGCAAAGGATGAAAACACATTAAAGGTGGAAGTTTTCTTTTACTTTTGTTGATGCATGTTTATTAAGAGTTACATATAGTGTTGTCAAGGGAGCTAGGCTCACTCGAGGCGCTAAGACCTCCATATAGCCTGAGGCACAAGGCATGGAAAAAGTGCTCATCGGACTAGAATAAAACACTACATAATATATAATGTATAAAAAATATTATGTAATACATGTAAATTACAGTACATTGACACAACAAAGTATACTGTACAAACTATGAACCCAAAAGCTTGTTTTGAATTCTTATCCCAAAAGAGTTACTATAACATAAAAGCAGAGACAAAACATACATTGCTCTGGTTTTTATTACTACAACAGATCAATGTCTTCTATTTTAAACAACAAAGTATACTACTGTAAAATCAAACATAAAAAAGAGAAAAGAGATGGAAAATAGAAGAGTAGATAGAGAATAGGAAAAAAAGTGGATGTAGACAGAGCATTAAGATTGAAAGAGATTAAGTGAGATCGAAGGTTGTTACATCACAATGTTTTAAACTTGTTTTGAATTCTTAACCCAAAAGAGTTGGTGGGTCGGACTAATTAATAAAATAAAGATAACATTTATGGTATTTTGGCTTTCAAAAGAAAAAAAAGGAACCTGAAAAGTCCGAACGGCAAAGCTGGCTTTTTCTGTGCTTAGAATAAAGTGCAGTGCATTCAAGTGCAAGACAAGTGTTGCCTCTTTGAAAGAACCTCGCCTGGGAGGTTTTGAGGGGCTTTTGATCCTTTTGGATGTGCCTGAGCGCATAGGCACACACCTTCATCATTGGTTACCAATGTTACTTGGACTCATGCGCAAGTGTCGGATATGGATATGTATCCGACACGGGTATTCTTAGATTTTTCCATATATTTGGAGGATCCTTGGGGATCATATCCCCATATCCGAGTTTCGGACACGGTACTTCATGAAAAATGAAGAGCCCAGACTATGTAGCTGGTTACATATACCTCTATACGGTATACAGATATAGTGACCATAAATATTTCTGTGCTGTGTCCTTATGCATGCTTGATTTCAAATTACCTCAGCTATCTTGTCAAAATCTTGTGGAATTATATTTGCAGGCAGGCCTACAACAATTGAGGGACTTTCCACAGCCATTTTGGCTGGCGCTTTTTGTAGAGGGAACTCGCTTTACGCAAGCAAAGCTTGTAGCAGCTCAAGAATATGCGACCTCACAAGGATTGTCTAGACTTAGAAACATTTTGATTCCTCGTACTAAAGTTGGATTTTGCTGATCTGGTTTTCTTCAATTTCTTATCATCTTTATCTAGGTATCATATATATATACGTATCATGTATGTCTCTGTGTGTGGGGAACTGTCGGTCTAGATTCATAATATTCTAATACTACCTATATCATTTTGTTAAATTATAGGTTATTTTTCATTTTTTATTTTTTTTAATGCATGTCTGTTTTAGCACTCTTTCAGTTCAAGGTTCATAATATTTTTACCTCAAAGCATTATAGATTGATTTTGTTGTAAACTCTTGCCAGCCACTAAGTTTCTGGCCTTGCAAGTTTGCTTCTTTTGCACATGTTCCATGCTTAGCCAGCCTCAGCTATGATAGCACTGTCACATATGTTCCCGGTCCTAGTTCAGAGTTAATCATGTTTGCTGTAGTTTTACATTTTTGTAATAATGAAGCACTTTATTTTGAAAATAGCCACTCTCCTCTTATAGGCCCTTACTAATTGTTATTCCATATGAAAAACATATGCCTGAAATATCAATATTACTTGTGTTGCATCAGGGTTTTGTTTCAGCTGTAAGTCACATGCGTTCATTTGTCCCAGCCATTTATGATGTGACAGTGGCTATTCCAAAAAGCTCACCTTCACCTACAATGCTTAGACTTTTCAAGGGGGAATCTTCCGTGGTAAGTCAGAGTTCATCCCAAATGTAAAACAAGTCAAATATTTTTGCATAATTGTGCATGGATTTTGAGTATTTACAAGGACTTCACTTCTAACGATGTGAAGGGCATGCTTCTTATCTGATCTTTTAGAATCCAAGGAGTGAAGGCCAAAAGTTTGTTGGCCATGAGCATGTTAGGAATCAGTTAACTACTTGTGGTTTGTGGCAACATGGAATTGGTTGAGTTGCAGGTTGAAGTATGGAATTGGAAGCAACCCACTAAGAATAGTCATAGGTCATACTGAAATAGTATTTGCTTTACCCATTTCTTTTTTTATGGCGGAAACATATATGTTACTCTGAAGCTATGATGATTAAACCTACCGGTATCATTGATCTTTGTATTGGGTTTGTTCATCTGTTAAGATATATTCTCTCTCGTTTGCAGGTGCACGTACACATAAAACGACACCTCATGAAGGAACTGCCTGAAACGGATGAGGCTATTGCACAATGGTGTAAAGATCTGTTTGTGGAGAAGGTATTATTCATCTAGTTGTGTTAGTAGACACTGTTTCTCAAAAAAGAAAAGAAGAATTACTCTAGCCTTGACAAGCTTGTGCATTGTCATGTTTTTATGTGTAACAATTAATCATATTTGTTCTTGTGCTTGCGGTAGTTATGCATCAGTTTCCTACTCATTGTTTTTTTTTGTAGGACAAGTTGTTGGACAAGCACATTGCTGATGATACTTTCAGTGACCAACCATTGCAGGATATTGGTCGGCCAATTAAGTCTCTTCTAGTGAGGCTCTTTCTTTTTCTTATTAATGAATTTTCAGTTAATGTGGCATTGTCTAGCTATTTCAGTGTCATAAGAGTTGTTTCTGGAACTAACATGACTTGGTCAGGTTGTATCCTCTTGGGCATGTATCATGGCTTTCGGGGCTCTCAGATTCCTCCGATTGTCATCACTTTTCTCCTCATGGAAGGGCATTGCATTGTCGGCAATTGGCTTGGCCGTTATTACTGTTCTCATGCAAATCATGATTCGCTTCTCTCAGTCAGAGCGTTCAACCACTGCCAGGGCTGCAGCAGGAAAGCTCAAGGAGGGGGAGAGTTCAGTGGCAAGACGGGAGAAACAGCAGTAGATCGAGCTCCCTCCTCCATATGGGCAGGAACTTATGTATCACATTCACTTACATTAGTCCGTTTTCATTTGACATGTTTCCGAACATATTTCTTATGGTCATGAGATGACAGAAGTTTATATGCATTATCAATTCTTTTCTTTCTGGTAAATTTTGCATTAGACAGTTAAAATGACTGTAGCAGCAATGTTTGTATTATGATAATTGGTGTTATTATTCTTCTTGTGCTTGTGATTTTGAAGGGCATGGGAAAAAAAGACTCGAAATCTGATCTATGATACTCTAATATATATATATTATTTGTGATCTAGTCCCCTCTCTTCTCTGTAACCGGAAGCTTGCTGATTTTCATTGATTCCTAGTTTGCATTGTTTCCTTAGCCTAGTCATGTCAAAATGATTAGTGGGGGTCGTTAAATTTCTAAGGTGGACTGGAGATACAACCATGACTGTGAACAAATGCAGACGGCGGTGAACTCATTTGATCTGGTGATGGGGTTTTGGAGGTGATGCGATATCAGTACAGTTGCAGAAAAGCTTTGAGGTAGTACGTGATACCGAAAGGAGAGACACCGAGGTTAAAGATGTTGGAGCAAAGCTTAAGACACAGAGTGTTCCAGCAAATGGGGATGATGGAACAAGAAGCTTGGAGTTTCCCTTCCAACTTTTTTTCTTCATCTCATAACATTTTATGTATATCATATGTGGTATAGCTTTACTTTGTGACTAACGGACCCAGCATTAGTTAATATTAAAAAGCAACTTTGTTCAAGCATAATTTCATAGAGATGACAGTCCTTATTCACATATTAGTTAGAAATTTACGACTAATATCTTCATAGTTCTTAAACATATTAGTTAGAATTTTATAAGTGAAAAAAATAAATAAAGTAAGATGAACATGAAATTCTATGTATCCTTCAATTTTGATATATATTCTAAGATTTTCGGTGTATAATTTTTTCTTATAAAATTTATACCAACAACCAGTTGGTCTAGTAATATAAGGCATTAGGTCCCTTAATCAAGGTCAGGGGTTTAAATCCTGATGTTTGCAAATGGAGCAAACTGGGTTAGGAGGGTCACCCTTACCTCTACAATACCCGATATGAATTAGTTGGTTAATTGATCAGATGCCAATGATTAATTTTAAAAAAAATAATATTTTGATTAAATTTTAAGATTAAATTAGAAATTAATATTTTTAATAATATATCTCATAATTAATGTAACAAGAGTGTGATCAGAACATAACAATTAAAAGTTAAGTAGCCAAAATCAGAAGAAAATAGAACAAAAGGAACCATTTAATATAACTTGTTCTTATACGTAGGTATGTTGCAGACGGTGGTGGATTCTTCCTTTCACAGATACTCAAACACGCAACGCAACAGATCTCATTGCCACAAAATGGAAATAAATAAATATCACACCGTTAGATTCATGTGGGCCCGATCCACCAGAATCCCGCCAGCAAAATATAGAAAGAAATTCACTTTCAGCTTCTTACAAACTTCAAATTTTCCCACCATCCAAACATTATTATTCTTTCACCGAAACAAAAATATCTCCCGAATTTTGATCTCTTGAAATCCTCACGACTCTTCGGTTTTCTCATCGGTTCTCATCCATGAATCGTGGCATTCCCAGAAAACCGAGTGCCTCATTTCCCACTGCTTCTTTAAACCGCAACAATAATCATCATCCATCGGTTAAAACAGAGGCCCCTACGCAACAATCCACCACTCATGACCTGATCAAGTCGCTAACAAAAGGGGTTGTTGGTTTCGCCGCTGCGGCCACGGCTCTGGCCTCTGTTTGTAGTGATTCTCCGGCTTTTGCTGAGTCCCTCACCGTTGCTTTCCTGTTTCCCGCGCTCAAGAGGTGTTTTGTTTTTCTGGCTTTTACTGTCCGACATGATTTTAAACATTGAATTGGGTTCTTGTGTGACCGTCGAACACAGTTCAAGTTCAAAGAACTCTTGTGGAAGCTTGGGGTTTGATAAGAGAAACATTCGTTGACCCTACGTTAATCATCAAGGTAATTTTTGTTTCCCATTATCCTTATTTTTTTCCCACTACATGAGGAATTGATTAAGCAGTTGCGTGTTTTTTCTTTTCATTAAAAATGGAAAATAGAATAAGCACTAATTTTTTTAATTTTCCAAGTAAGCTCTTTTACTTTTATTGTATTCAAGGCTCTTACATTTATATTAAAAAAATCCTTATTCTAAATGGTATACTGATTTGCTACAGTCAACGCTGACTGGATTTTTTTTTCTCCACATAGAAGCTGCTATGGCCTATGCTTCTGGCTGAAGTTGGAAAAATTAGATTTGAATTCCTTATGGATAATTAGTTTTCACAGATGTCTGGGAAGGTAGTGATATAATATAAACATAATATTATATTTTTCCCCTACTTAGGGGAGTTCATTGTTCGGATTTAACTAAATTGATTGACCGAACCAAAATTTAGTTCGGTTAATTAGCCGATTAATGGATGTTAGATTAGTTAACAGGTAAAATTTTCAAAGTTCGATTATCAGTTAATTTGGTTCGAAATCAGTTAATTAACCTAATTAATCGAACATATTAAGTATTTAATATATTATATATATTACATTTATATTTTAAGCTTAAACCCGTTAATAATTAAGACCCAACTATTTTTTAATCACACTAGACCCAGTAAACTTTCAAGACCCAATCAAATTTTAATCCAAATGAAAAATACCTCTATTAAACCTAAATTAATCTAATTAAAAAAACTTATAAAATATTTCGGTTAATTTGGTCACCGATTGAATTAACCAAACTTTGTTTGGTTCGGTTAATAATTAAAAAAAAACGGTTCAATTAACGTTAAAGAAAGAGTTACTTAATTTGTTTTGACTAACTCAGTTCAGTCGGTGACCGAATTAACCTTTTGAACACCCCTGCCCCTACTTTTGTTACCTAGGAACTAAGAAATAACATATGGAAGTAAATAAATTTTGAGAGCTACCCTATTGCAGACTGGGATTTGAAGTTGCAGCAAACCATGGTGGAAATGTTTCCCTTGAAGTCAGCTGATGCCGCATACGGTAATCAGAGGAATGCTTTCAACTCTTGGAGATCCCTTCACTAGGATTATCAGTCCAAAGGTATAACAATCTGCTTCTTATGAATTGTGTGAACTCTGCTGTGGTTTAGCTAGGATAATTTTGTACCATACTGATACTAAAAAATAAGATGAATTATGATGTGGCTACTCATTTGTTATGCCATTTCATCTTGCCAAGTTACTATGTGTTCTTAGGGTTACTCAATTCTTGGTGATTACATTATTTTTCAATTTTTTGATTGATGAATCTACTTCAAAGGATTACCATACCTTTCTGTCACATTTTTTCTCTTTCAGGAGTACCAAAGTTTTAGAATTGGAAGCGATGGGAATTTGCAAGGAGTTGGCCTATTCATAAGTGTTGAACCAAAAACTGGACACTTGGTGAGTGCAAAAAGCTTATCTTACAATACCAACCTGCTGGAGGAGACCAGAAAAAATCTGTGTTCCAGTGACAATCAATTTAAATTTGTTTAATTCACAAATGATAACGGATTGGAGGTGACGAATTTTCCTTCTGTATTATTGAAAACTGATTAGCATAATTTCTTCCCCGAAAGTTTTCAATTTTTGTTGGCATTAACGAATGATTTCTACCTTCTGCTCAAATTGGATAGTCATATGTATGTTAAAAATATTTCCTATTGACATTAATCATAAGTTCAAGCATTGTGGTTATAATTTATTTAAACCATGCAGGTTGTTTTGTCATGGTAGAGGTAGCCCTGCTGCTCGTGCTGGTATACATGATGGAGATGAGTTGATTGAGATTAATGGTATGAATGTTATTGAGCTTTTACCTTGCCCATCCACGGTTACATATACAATTTTCATTATACAGATTGTTTTTGCTTTATCAATTCAAGTTCAGAAATGCATCATGCCTATATTTCTTTCTTGAAAATATGAGAGTGAAAAGTATCTTTTTTTCCAAATGTTATAACTTAACTCTGCTTAAGTTTTCATGCTGTTTTTGATGTTTCAGGGAAGAGACTTGATGGTGTTGATAGTGAATCAGCAGCCCAGAGGCTTAGAGGCCAAGCCGGAACATCGGTTACAGTGAAGCTCCACAGAGTAATTATCCATTCTGATTCTCTGTAATCTAAATGAAGATTAAGTCAGTAATCTGCATAAAATATGATCATTTATATCTTGACAGGACATGTAGCGATTTGAGATCAGGCTTTCTTTAAATTCATTGCACTAAGATCAAATACAGACATCTTAAACTTGTGTCAGGGATTAATTCCCATTATAGACGAGCATATGTAGACTGCATATGAAGATTGTTCAACTATGTATTATTTATACATGCATTGTATTTATATATATATTTTTTTTTTTAATTTTCTGACTGTCGGAGGTCTTCCACGGAAGCTGCTCTCAACCTGGCGTTGGGGGCAGCCTACTACCCTACCTCCCCCTTACCCCATTGCATATGGGAATAGGGTTTTGTTGTTGTTGTTGTTGTTAAACTTGTGAATCTGTTTTTAGACATTGACTGAAATAGAGTTGCAATGTTCTATCCCTCCCTTTATCACGAACTAGTAGTTATAATCCCTTTGCATTCATAGTGAATCTAAGTAACCCTGCTTCAGAAGCCTGGTCCTAAAGAATTTCCTCTGCATGTGGACGATGAAAATTTATTATCTCCTTACTTGGTTGAACTTTACTGCATAACCTATGTCACAAAAGCAAGCAATATAGTATTGTGAAAGTGGCATAAGTGTTTGTATCTCCTTTATAGTGACATTATTATGTTTCATTTCAACTCTTGAGTTCATATTTTCTTCTGGGTATTACTTGTTCTAGCCAAAGAATTAGGCCAGGTGATCTAAATACATTATTGGTCTCTCATAATGCTTTTATGCTTAATAAAACTGATGTTTTGTTCTCCAGAGAATGGTTCAGGAAGTGGTTCAAGTATCAAAGAGGTAAC